GCAGGACCTGCGCAAGCTCAAGGCAGGAGCCTGGGGGATGAGAGAGAGAATCTTGCTGAGTCCAAAACCCTGGTCCCAGAGAGGGTATGAAGGATAGGCTGGCTGGGTGCCACCACTGCAGAGGGCAGGGACCACTTGGGACTATTTGCAGTTGGGAGAACAGAAGACTCTAAAATCAAGTTTGCCTTGGTCACAGGGGAGACCCTTGCTTGAACACAAGCTGCCCTAGGAACATGGGCCTCGGGCATGAATCCTTCTCTGCTGCTCCAAGTAGGGCCTGAAGGGTGAGGCAGAGGAGGCCGCTCCAGGGCCTGGTGTAAGTCTTGGGCTAAGTGGACGTGATGCTCTGTAAATTTGCACAGGCTACTCTTCTCATCTGCAGAACTCTTACTCTCTTCAGCCTGGAAAACACATTCAGGGTAGTTGGTCACCTCCTCCTAGAAGCCATTCTTGATTTCTCAGGGTGGAGTTAGTTTCTCTGACTGTAGTGTCGTTATCTGAGCCCCGCTTTCCACTCCATTTGCCCCGACTTCCCTAGCTAGATCCCATGCCCTCGCCCAGGGCCGGTGGCTGCTGTGAGCTTTGGTTCGTGGTGTGGTTGGGGAGTGCGGGATGTATGTGTGTGACGTGTCCCTGGTTCCCTGTCTGGTCCACTGGGGAGAGCTTTGGTCAATTGGAAGCTAATGGAAGAGAGACCCAGTATGAATTATACATGTCCACAGGCAATTTCTGCCCGGCTTGGCATGTCTGGTTGACCATCAGTGACGCGGGCTCATCTCATGTTCATTTCGAGTGTGTCGAACAGGTGATGACCTCACTGCTGGCCAGACTCAACCAGTGTTAGAACCAGAAGAACCTTAGATGGAATAATAATGATGACGATGGCACTAGCTACTTTAAAAAAGGTTTACTTATGTGCTAGACACTGAGCTCTGCGTTTTTTTTTTTAAAAAGAATTACTTTATTTATTTATTCATTTTAATGTGACCAGAGAAAGAGAGAGAAAGGGAGAGGGAAAATGAGAAAGCAAGCTGCCAGGTCCAGGACTCGAATCGTGGTTGGCCATGTGGGGGTCCATTGCCCTTAACCACCATGCCACCTGCCAGCCCCGAGCTCTGTATTTTATACCCATCATTTTGTTTTTCTATGGGGCACATGCACTTGCTGGAGAGAAAGAAACAGAAAGTGACAAAGCATCCCCTAGGAAGATAGCCATGCTGCAATCACTTCTCCATTCTCCTCTTGGGATTTGGGGTACACACACACACACACACACGCACACGGGTGTCAGGCTGCCAGGTCCAGGACTTGAACTGTGTAGTGAGCCCTGTGGGATCCAGCTGCTTCAACCACAATGTCACTGACTGACCCAGTTTAGCTTTTTTTTTTTCTTTTAAATAAAAAACAGAGATGTAATGAACAGTGGTTTAAATAACATGGAAGCGTGTTCCTCTCTTACATGAAATGTGATGGCCGCTCTGCTCCACGACGGCATCTGAGCACTAGGCCCCTATTCCTTGCCTTCCCTTCACCCGCATCTACAGGGTTAAGACGACGTGCTACCACGTCTGTGTTCTGGCCCATGGCAAGGGAGGAAGGGGAAAGAGCAGGCATTCTGGTTACCATGTGTGGAATAAGTTACCCTAAAACATAGCAGGCTGAGACAACTGTCAGGTTTCACTCATGATTTTGCAGGTCAGAACTGGGAAGGACTCAAGGCAGCTCTCTCCCTTTTTTAAAGTTTATTTATTTATTTCTTGCACACATGTACACGCATGAGAGAGAGAGAGAGAGAGAGAGAGAGCAGGGGCGGAGCTTTCACACTGCAGTCCACCCCTAGTTTCAGCCGACCCAGATCATGGGCACACATGTGCAGCTCAGGGAGGTCCCAGGGCCTATGCCGGTTGTGTCACTGCCCTTCCACTACCTGGCCATCGGCAGTTCTTACTGGAGTCTCATACACCGTGACAGCCAGAGTTTGGCTGGGGCTGGGCCATCTGAAGCCTCCTCTGGGCTGATGCCCGAGAAGGCTTGCTCATGTGTCTGGACAGTGGTTCTGGCTGTGGGCTGGGAGTTCCGCTGAGGCCCTTGACCATCGTACCTACATGTGGCCTCTCCAATATATGCAGGGGATAGATGGCCTTACATGGTAGCTGGCTCCCTCAGAGTATTCCAAGTACCAAGTGGAGATTGGACTGTATTAGTTTGCTGGGGCCGCTGTAACAAAATATCCCAAACTGGGTAGTTTAACAATGAGGTTAGAAGTCTGAAATCAAGGTGTCAGAAGGGTGGTTCCTTCTAAGGGATGTCAGAGAAGGATCTGTTCCGGGCCTTTCTTGGCTTGAAGAGTTTAGTAAGCTTGCTGTTGACAGCAAGATATGTGTGATGTCCCTTAATGAGTGGGAATTACAAGTGGAATCCCTTTTTGTTCCTTTTGGTTGTTTTTTTCTTTCTTTTTTTTCTTTTCTTTTTTTTTTTTTTTTTTTTTGTGAGAGATTTTTCACTGTAGGGCACGTGTGCTCGCCAGACAGACAGAGAGAGACAGAGAGACAGAAAGCGAGAAATCACCCCCCAGGGGGGATGGTCACGCCACAATCCCTTCTCCTCCATTCTCCTCTTGGGATCTTGGGCACGCACACACATGTGCCCGGCGTGAGTTCTAAGCCACCGGGTCCGGGACGCGAACCGCGGTCGACTACATGGGAGTCCAGCGACATAGCCATTACGCTAACTGCTGGTTCCCTGGTTGTTTTTTTCTTGAATGCAACGCCACTTGGAACCTGAGCCCCGTGGAACTCCAGGTTTACAAGGGTTACACATGTGCTACCCTGCCTCCCTCACAGGGTAACAAAGGGTGCTAATAAAACGACCTGTGGGGGGACCAGCCAATGGCATAATGGTTACATCGCTGGACTCACACATAGTTGAATGCAGTTCAAGTCCTGGACCCGGTGGCTTAAAACTTATGTCAGGTTGAGACCAGCAGTTAGTGTAATGGCTATGTCACTGGGTTCCCATGTAGTCGACCATGTTTCGAGTCCCAGACCCAGTGGCTTAAACTTGCGCCGGACATGTGTGCAAGCGTGCCCAAGATCCTGAGGGGAGAATGGAGAAGGGATTGCGACATGGCCATCCCCCCCTGGGGGGTGATTTCTCGCTTTTGTCTTTTTTGTCTTTTGTCTTTCTCATGAGCACATGCACCCTATAGCAAAAACCTCTCAAAAAAATAAATAAATAAACAACTTATGCTGGGTGCATGTACATGCATGCCCTGAACCCCGAATCCTGAGAGGAGAATGCAGAAGGGATTGCAGCGTGGCCATCCTCCCGATCCCTTGCAGGTGATTTCTCACTTTATCTCTGTCTCTCTCTGTGCCTCTCCAGTGAGCACACAAGCCCTATAGCAAAAATCTCTCTTAAAGCAACACAACACAACACAAAACAAAACAAGAAAAATCTGTGAGGAAGATTCTCAAGTCCCGAGTGAGGGATGGCCATGGCTGCTGTGGTTCACTGGGTGAACACGGCCTGTCCCTTCTCCATCCTGTACTTCAGTGTCCTCATCTTCCAAAATGTCACCGAAGCTCCTCACTGGGCTTTGAACCCCCTGCACAGTCCTTGCTTCTTCACCTCCTCCCGCTCCACCCCCAGGCAGCTGACGTGATAAATGACTGAAAGCAGCGGGGACTGAGGTTACGGGGGGTTGGGATGCAGCACGTGGTGCTGCCCACACTCCTGCTGTTGTAGGCATGGATGTGGGGCCGTCCCTCTGCTCCTTCACCTGCTTTCATTCACCTTGTGACCCAGTGCTGCTGGGCCTTCCTGTCCGGGTCTCCTTATCAAGTGCCCACTCAATCTCCAGCCCTGCCGGTCCTGGAGGGCATGGGGCTGGCCAGGGGGACAGGGATCCCCACCATCTTCACTGAGTGCACCTGCAGGTATATAAAAACGGTGCCCTCTTGAGGCAGGCTCCTCGGCCAGCATTGTAGGACACGTGAAGCTGAGCGGGAACCACCGCCGTGTCCTGGACAGGGCCATTCAGTTCAGGAAGCACATCCCCTCCCTCTTCCTCCTTGATTGTCATGACATCCCTGGAAGGACCCAGAAGAGCAATCTGTTATTTGCAAAGGAAAAAAAAAGTAAAAAGCAAGCAAGCTACAGGTCCGACTGATACTTGTGGAGTGCCTGCTATTTCTTAAGCAATGACACCTGGTTCGCCTCAGTCACAGGACAGAACTACAAATGACCCTGGCACCTGACCCAATCCCCAGAGCCATCAGCTGTCTGCTGGGGCTGGGTCCTGAACTGGGTAGAAGGATACCCACCAGGCTGTGGTCCTGTGAGATTCCCAGACCCCTCAACTTCCGGAAGCCTGGAACCTGGCGCCCTCTGGTGGCACTCTGTAGCCTCTGCTGGCATTGCTGGAAGCCCGCCTGAGACCAGCCACCAGGCCACCTCCCTGGTTTCTCACATTGGAAATCCTGGCCCATAGAAGGGGCAAGACTTGCTGAGAAAGAACAGCCTCCACATTTGCCTTGAGGAATGTACGTTTTCTTCGGGTGAGATATTATCATTCTTGTTACCAGCTCAGAATTCAGAGATACGCGGCGAACACTGACGTTTCTTGAGCCTTCCTTTATTATCCTTACCTTGAGGTGGGGAACCACAAGTTCCATTTTACAGAGAAGGCAATGGAAGCTCAGAGAGGCTGAAGGAGCTACTTTCTCAGGCTCACGGTGAGCCAGAGGCAGAGCCAGGACTCGGACCCCGGCCTGGCTGACCTCAGAGCCCCCACGTAGATGACCACGATAACACTGCCACTCCAGCCAGTGCCCTCCTCTGTCACCCTGACACTTGATCTGCGGCAACAGAACCTCAGGGGAGAGGTTCTTTGCTCTGGCAACAACGTGTCGTTCAGACTGTTACTGTTCCTTGACCTGAACTGGGGAGGGGCCAGGGTTGGAGAAGGAAAATGGGAAGGAAAAAGACCAGAAGCTCCTGCTCCGGCTGTGGCGGGATTAGTGGGCTGAGACTCCAAGCCAGAATGTGAGCCCCAGGCAGCCAGAGATCCTGAGTAAGTTCCTGCCACGTTTCTCAGCCAACAAGGGAGAAATGACAGCGGCGCCTTGGCAGTCCCTTAGGGCACAAGGGCTTGGGTTCGGACTTTGTTTCAAACCCTGCACCTCCCAAGTACTATGTGGTCTGGGGCCAGGGACTGAATGTCTTTGAGCAGATTTTTATTTCTGAATCCGTAAATTGAGTTGTCCTGGGGATTCAGTGAGGCGACTGAACTAGGAGCATTTGGAGGATTTGAGGCTTTTAAGGAAGCTGTTTCATCACTCTCCCTGGAATGGGGACTCTGGGAAGGTCTGGAGTGGGACAGAACCAGGCACCCCGCCTTTGCCTCTGAACCCAGGCACATCCATTCTCACTCTGTATCCTGAGGACCCCCCAAACAGGTTTCTCCACACCTGGGTCTCACTTCTCTCCCCATTGCCTGAGGAGCCGGCCCCCACCCCATTCCAAACCTTGCTTCTAGCTGCAGACCGGATAGGCAGGCCTGCTTTCCATCCTTCATCCCTGGGGGCTTGGAGCTGAAGCTCAATCCTCTACCTCAAAGGAATCCACTTAATGAATCAGGTTGATCCTTGGGACGCTGTCCTGAGGCCTTTGACCAGAACCTTTCGGCCACCCTGGAGTTCCAGACCCCGGTCTTGACCCAAGCCTGCTCTGGCACCCAAAGGTGGAAGGGGCCTTGGGGATGAGGCCCACTGGAGATTTCTGCTGTGGTCCAGGTCCAGTTTTATCCGTTAAGCTGCTAGTCTGGCACCCACAGCGCTGCCCTGTCCCCCTCCCATTCCTGGAGCCAGCGCTGGCAGTAGCAGCGAGTAGAAGGTGGGAGGAGGGGTGAGGGCTGGGGAACGAGAGAGGCTGACAGGAGGCGGGGACTCTGGGGGGCTGAGGACTATAAAGGGACAGGGGGACCCATCTAGCCTGAGGCTGGCGCCCGCTTGGTCCAATACCACTCACTCAGGACTCAGGGTAAGTGAGCTCAGCTGGCCCTGGGCTCTGTGCCTCCCTAGGGCTGGGGCTTGGGGCTGGGATAGAGGAAAGTTGGTGTTTGTAGGGCTGAGGGCTCAGGAGGCCTGAGGTCCTGCCTGGCCTGACTCTGCACCTGGGCAAACCTGTCGCACGGGAAGAACAGTCACTGACAGAGAGAGTGGGAGAGCGTGTCAGAGACAGAGAGGCCGTGAACACGAAGGTGTGATTGCGACCTTGTGAGCAATTGGGACCACTGTGTGTGCCAGTCTGTCCGGGTGACACAGCAATAGCGTCTTCTCCAGGACTGTGTCTGCGTCCATTTCCGGGACAGGTGCTAGACCCACAAGGCCATGGATGTCTGTCCTTTGGTTCGCAAGTTTGTTCTGCATCCCACTCCCCTACTTCCCACCAGCCCCTTCTCCACCCCTGCCCCACCTCTGCTGCCCCAGAGTACCAGGTCCCGGAGACCATGTGTCCTGTATCCCAGGCCCCCATGTCCTCCCCATGTCTCTGCTACACTTTCTACCTGGCTGGGCCCTGGCTACCTGGCTGCTCACAGGGGGCTGTCCATGCTCTCCAGGGCAGTGTCTAGGAGGTGGGGTGCTCGGGAGGCCCTTTGCTCTGCCCCGTCTCCTGGCTTGAGGAACTTGGTGATGGGCTAACGGGCTGGCAGGGGGGCCCGGCTCCCCGCATGGAGGCTCTGCAGACTGGACTCAGCTCTGTCTCCTCAGATGGCTGCCGCCCGCCGCTGCCTCTCTCTGCTGCTCCTGTCCGCCTGTGTGGCTCTGTTGCTGCAACCGCTGCTGGGTGCCCAGGGAGCTCCGCTGGAGCCCGTGTACCCAGGGGACAATGCCACGCCGGAGCAGATGGCCCAGTATGCGGCTGAGCTCCGCAGATACATCAATATGCTGACCAGACCCAGGTGTGTGGGGGAGAGCCTGGCTCCTGGCCCTGAGCCCACTCTGCCCTCCTGGCCGCCCCTCCATTCCCACCCCTGCCCAGCCCCTTCCCTGCCTGCTCTAGGAAATACAGAGCATCTTCACTGACCCTGCCTGGCCCGTGTGCCCTGGGGCAAGACGGAGCCCAAGATCAGGTAGGAGGCAGGTGAGCTGCACCTGGACACAGCGCTCCCTCTCCTTCCCAGGTATGGGAAAAGAGACAAAGAGGACACGCTGCACTTCTTGGAGTGGGGCTCCCCCAACGCTGCCACCAGGTGAGCTGGTTCTTTGCCAAGACTGTTGGCACCCTGGGACTGAAATGTGGGGAGGGGGCCCTGAAACAATGGGAGAGGGGTGTCAGGGGAGTAACAGGGGCCCAGGGCTGCCCTGAGGGCTCCTGAGGGCAGGACCACCCCTTCCTACTGTCACGTTCCACCTTCTCTTCACAGGGAGCTCAGCCCGATAGACATGTAATGCCACCTCCCACCTAGGCTCCATGGCAGTGCCAGCCGGCTCTCCCCTCTGCTCCCTTGGCTCTGGCCACAGCCCACTCCTTGCTCCCATATTGGCTAAATAAAGCAAGTCAAAGTCACAGCCTCCCTCGTGTGTCTGTGGACCCCTGGTGGGAGCAGCCCAGACTCACAGGACAGAGGGGGAGGGTAGGGAGGAAGAGGGAGACAGGGGCCATTGTTAAGGTTTCTGAGCCTCCGTGGGTCATCAGAGCCGCTCGGTTCATCTTCTCTACTTCATAGAGAAACAAGTTGTGGCCCAGATGAAGGCAGGGACTCCCCCACGGCTACTGATCAAGTCAGCGAAGAGGCGTTCTTGAGCTCAGTTCTGCCGTTTCAGCACTCTAGACCTTCCTGATCACCAGCCTGAGGACAACTCTGTCCCCAGATGCCCTCCGGCCAATGCTTTCCTGTAGCTTAGGCAGTCCGTGGGGTACTAATCTATACCAGGGTGTCCTGTGCATGGGGACAGGGGCAACGGCCCAGCCCAGAGGAACGCCCCTGGTGCCAAGGCAGTCGCCGCTGCATTAGGTGGTCTCAGAGCAGCTCTCCAGACACCTGGAGAGGTTTTTCCGGAGAGGGAGTGAACTCCTGGGCACAGGAGGGACTCAAGCTGCTGCAGGAGGGGCAGCTGCAGGGGCACAGGACTTTCTAAGAGGAAGCCAGATTAGCCAAAAGCCCCAGCCACGTCCAGGAGTCCAATCTGGATTCTACTATCCCATCTCTGGGAGGGTGAGGACCTGGATCCTGCCCCGGGAAGGTGGAGATGGGTTTGGTGTGTATAAAATGGGAGGGAGAGAGTTCGTCTCTCTCCCCCTCTCCTGGGGCTGGAGGCACCTGTGGAGAAGGGACAGTCATGAGAGCAGGAAGGGTGAAAATGAGACTCCTTTCTGGTTCCCAGAGTGACTTCTCCCACCTCTCCCACCTGCTCAGCCTGCAGGGGTGGGCCTGGAGAGTCCACTTTCCTGGGCTCAGCACCCTGCACTGGCCTCATGGCCATGATCCCACAATCCTGTTTCCCCACATGAATTATCTGGAAGTGGAACGGGGCCCTAAAAGGCACAAGGCTTCTAGAAAATGCAGCCACTAGGCAAGTGCTCTGTGCAGGCTGGCTCTTAAATCTGAGGGCACCTGGCTAGGGGGCTAAAAACCAGAGCTTGTTTGGACAAAGCCTGAAGTTTCAGCATGTTTGCTAGAGACTGAGGGGGCGGGTTCTGAATGGAGAGAGGTGTGGACACTTCCCAGGGGCAGGAATAAGGACCCTGCTTGGGACACATCTGGGTGTGATAGTTGGATCATGGAAGAGGCCTTGGGCTCCCAGAGGAGAGTGCCTCGGTCACAACCAGCTTCTGGGGACAGGTCACACCTAGCTTCTGGGGACAGACCGAGCTAGGGATAGGCTCCTCCCCTTCTCTGCAGAGAGGGCCCAGAGGCAAAGGCCTGCCCTGAGGGGCAGCGCACCTCTGCCTGCTCCTGTGCCAACACTGGCAGCCGAGGCTGGTACTTCTGTACAGAAACTTGACAGGGGGTGGGGCGGGGGCTGAAGCCGGTCTGTCGAGGTTGCTGAGGTGGCTCTCTCCCTCCTGCTCTCCAGTGGGTTAGAGCTCCCACCCCCTGGTGGTGGATGGGGGAGGTGGGTGGGTTGCAGAGAAAGACAGTGGAGAGCCTGCAGCTGAGGTTTCTCTCACAGCAGACTCTAGGGTCCCTTTTCTCCCATCAAGGACAAATCCCCACCACCACCCAGCATATAAAAATGACAAAAGCCACAGAGATTTTGTTTCTCTTTATTGTTCTCATGGAGGGGTAGGGGTCGGGCGGATTGAGGCCCCACTCACAACATAAAAAAGTGGGTGGGCTGCAAGAGCTGGGTCAGGCATCTGAATGAGGTCAAGGCCCAGCCTGGGAAAGGAAGTCCCTGGGGCCCTGGTGTCTCCTTCGACTTCCGGGAGCTCCCTTGTGTTCCCACCCAAGCTGCCCCCAGTTCCGAGGCTCCTGACCCAGCGGCAGCAGTGTCCAGGCGCTCCTACCTGGGGCCCTGGGAGGTCGATGGTCGCGGTTCCACGGCGTTCACCGGCTGGGGTTTGGTGGCGTTGGGTGGAAGGGGGTTCTTTGTGTTCAGTGGAGGGAGTTTCGTGGCGTTCGAGGTTTTTTGGATTTTAGATTTCTTCGGGCTGGGGAACAGGTGCTTGCAGGGATCATGGGGCAGCGATTCGCGCGGGGGGATGGGGAGGTTCCCAGGTGGCGTCGTGTTCTTCCCCACACCCTCCTTTCCTCCCTCCCTCGCGTCCTCCGCCGGCCCACGTACTTAAAGAGCTTTTCTATGTACTTGTTGATATGGCCTAAGTTCGCCAGCCAATTTGCCGCCCTGGGCTTGGGGAGCTGCTGCCTTTGCAGCTCCTCCCCAAATGCGCTCTCCGGCCGCAGCAGCAGCGACGCAAAGCACACCAGGGCCAGTGCGCACGCGCAGCGCAGAGCCGGAGTCTGGAAGGGGCGGGGCAGACAGAGCCGCAGGGCTGTCACGTGACGCCGTGTCTGGGTCGCTTGCGGCGCCGAGACCCGGTCTTGCAGCCTCTTGACCAGATAGGAAAGCTGATGTTGCTCCCAGGCCTTGTCTGCCCTGGGACACACAGGTGCACGAGCGCCCGGTGAGGGACAGTCTGGTGCCCAGGAAGGATGGTGCACACCTGGGTGCGCATGCACAGCGATGCACAGGAAGCGAGCACCGAGGCAGAACCAGACAGGGAGCCGCGTTAAGACGGACCCGTCAGGACAGCAGAGAACCGTTGGTCAACCCCCTAACCTCGCTGACCACTCCCGCAATCTCCTTGCGCACCCCTTCCAGCCTCTGCTGCCTCCTTGCTATTCCTCAAAAACACCAGACATGCTGTTTCCTGCTTGGAACACTCTTCCTCCAGACATCCTTAGGGCCAGCTCCTCTTCCTTTGGGAATCTGCTCAAAATTTGCCTCCTAAATGGGTCCCACCCTGACAGCCCTATTTAAAATTGCATCCCATGGGGCCAGCAGGTGGTGTGGTGGTTAAGGCACTGAACTCTCACATCGTTGACCATGGTTCAAGTCCTGAATCTGGCAGCTTGCTTTCTGACTTTCCCTCTCTGCCTCTCTCTGGTCAAATTAAAAAATGATAATAAATGGGGCTGACAAGTGACATGGTGGTTAAGAACGCAGGACTCCCACACGACCAACCACGGTTCGAGTCCTGAACCTGGTGGCTTGGTTTCTTACTTTCTACCCCCATCTCTCTCTCTCTCGCTCTCGCTCTCGCTCTGTCCCTCTCTGGTCAAATTAAAATAAATAAAGTTAAATTTAAGAAATTAAAAAAAGATAATAAATGAAATGAAATAAATACTTCTTTTTAAAAAAATTGCAACCCAGCCCCAGCACTTTCCAGCATTACTAGCACTAAGTACGTGCTCTGTAGTACATGTTAAATGAGTAACTAACAGTTACAGGAA